AAATTATTAAAAGATAAGAATAATTATAGAAAATTAAAACATATATCAGAGTATTATAATAATATATATTTGGAATCTAGGCGAAAACTCAAATATTTAATAAATATTGAACATCGAAAACATATACAACAAACTGAGCAAGCTATACATAATGACATTAACTGTTTTTGGAATTTTGTTAATAAAAGTAATAGTAATACGGGTGGGGTTGAGTCATTTTACTTTCAAGGTAATAAGATATTGCCGAGTGGAACAGCCGAAAAGTTTGCTGAATATTTTGCATCTGTTTATAGTAGTGAAAAATCGAAGTACGACATGCATAAATCAATATATTTTAATAACCATGATGTTTTGAGTTTCTCTGAAGTAAGCGCAAAAGATTTTGACATTGCTATAAAGAAATTGAAACCAAAGAAGGCCGCCGGTGTTGATGGAATTCCACCATATATTTTAAAAGGTTGCCAGGGTGCCTATTCTTGAAATCGGGGAGTGAGAAATATTGAGAGAAAATTCTCACTTTCTACTCCTTTGTAAAAATTCGTATTCTTGAAATCAAATTCACCAAAATTGATGGAGAATTTTCTCTCAAAACTTTCTCCTACTTTTAGGTAGAGAGAATGAAAATAACGAGAGAATTCAATTCACATTTGCGCTATTTACTTTCCCTTTAAAATGGATTTAGACGCGAAAATAATAAGAATAATTTTTATTCAATACAGATACATTTTAGACAAATTGACAAAATGGAGCAACAACTTCTTTAGTTATAAAAGGTAGTAGTGTAAAACTATCCCCGTACACTATAATACTCCCTTTTCCAATAGTAATAACATCTTTTTAAATTTGTTTGTACTTTGACTCGTGTTTTTAAAATGATTAATTATTTAGGAAAGTAATTGGTAGGTACCTACCTCCTACAATCGTAGAGTTTTTAACTGTAAATAAAGACGCTTTAAAACTAAAACTAAACATTTAGAAAAATATTACTTGAATTATTGCCAAGATATTTGAATTTTTAGTTTGATAATTATTTAAAACAGTTAATATTATTTTTAATCAACAATAGTATTTTAAAATGTGTGTACGTGAAATGTCAAAATTCCGTTGTCGATAAAAAGAAATCATAATAACCTAAATTCTTAAAATGCCAGAAGTGACATTTGCTGTCAAAAGCTCGTAGTTTCTAATTGGTCGGATGATCTAAAACGATCTGACAACTCTGTATTTATTTTCACCATCTACTTTCTCCTCCCTTGGCTTTCACGTTATTTCAAGAATACCAATTTTTTGGGAAAGTGAAAATAAAGTGAATATATTCCCCGGGGAGTTTCAGTTTCTCTCGTTTTCAAGCATACGCACCAAGGAGTGGTTGAAAAGGCCACTAATTCATATTTTTAATTGTATTATTAAAACCAAGTATTTTCCAACCAAATGGAAACTATCTAAGATCACTCCAATTTATAAATCAGGCAGTAAGAAAGATATTGAGAATTATAGGGGTGTTTCATTAATGTGTGCTCCATCTAAGGTTTTTGAACAAATTATGTATGTTAAAATTTACAATCATGTTAAAAACAGCATAGTCGATCAACAACATGGATTTGTGTCAGGGCGATCTATAAATACAAACCTAGTATTATTCGGTGAATCTGTAAGTCAAGTTTTTGAGGAAATGCAGCAGCTTGACATAATTTATACTGACTTTCTGAAAGCTTTTGACAGAGTTAACCATGATATACTACTAGCAAAATTACATCAATTTGGGTTGTCGGGTAATTTCTTAGAGCTTTTCAAAAATTATCTTCAGAATAGACAATTTATAGTAAGGCATAATGGGAATACATCCGGAAAGTTTCATGCTAACTCAGGGGTGCCACAAGGCTCTAATTTAGGACCATTACTTTTTATTTTATTCATAAATGATCTTCCAGAATACATTAATTTTTCGGACTATTTATTATTTGAAGGCGATTTTAAGATGTTTAAAAAAATACAAACAGTTAGAGATTGCGTAATGTTGCAAAAGGATATTAATAACATTCATAACTGGAGTATTGAGAACAAATTAAACTTTAATGTGAATAAATGTTGTATAATGTCCATCTCTCATAAAAAACTAACCATAAATTTTGATTATCTAATCGGTTTGGATAATTTAAACAAATTGAATAAAGTTAAGGATTTGGGTTTAATATATGATAATCAATTTTGTTTTGGATCACATATTAATAAATTAGTAAATAGTGCAAATCGTTTACTGGGATTCATTTATAGACAGACTTCCATTTTTTCTATAAAAACAATTAAAATTCTATATAATGTGTTAATTAAGCCTAAATTAGAGTTTGGATGTTTGGTGTGGGGAGATCAACCACAAATACATTTAGCGCCAATTGAAAAGACCCAGAACAAGTTTCTTAGATACTTGTATTTCAGGAAATATCATGTGTGGCCAGATTATACAAATGTAAGATCATCTAGATTAAGGGCAGACTTTAATAGTATTTCATTAACAAGCAGACGTATACTAACAATGATGCTTTTTTTGTATAAAGTCATAAATAATATATCCACTTCAAGTAGTTTGCTACACAAAATTCCTTTTAAAGTTCCATCTAGGTTTACTAGATATCCACTCTTGTTTGGAAAATTAAGGCAGACAGTTTGTTCCCCTCTTGAGTCCATGTTAAAACTAGCAAATGTGATACACAATATTAAAGACATTGATTGGACACTACCACCTAAAAGGTATAAAAAAATAATTAATGAATATATAGCAGATTTTAGTATGTAAAAAATATATATGTCGTTTTTGTGTTTTTTTTTTCTCTTTTTTCCTTTTCTTGTTTTTTAGGACGCATTATTTCTTATAGCTTAATAAAAAGGATTTATTTTTTCTTTATTAGTTTAAGTAATTATTATAATTAACGAGACCTACCTACTATCTATTTATAACATTTATTAATATTATATTTATTGTACTTACTACCCTTATAAAAAGGTTGTAAAACCTGTTTGGGTTTTTAATAAATAAATAAATATGAATTTAGTGACCAAAACCTATCAAATTCAGATTTTCGGCTTTCAACGCTAACATTTTCTGCAAATTTTGATGTGCGGTTACAACGAAAATCGACAAACTTTTTGGGTTCGATTTTAATACTTTTATAGTTAAAATTAGGTTTATTTGTGTACATCCGTATCCTTTTCCTTCTCGAGTTTGATTGGGAATTTTTCGTTTTCTGTCTTTCTTTGGCCTTTCCTGCAATGCTGGATCATTAATTTTTTGGGTAGCATCGACTTGAGGATCGTTATCCACAACAACATGAACGGGAATACTTTCGTCACTGATATCATCAGGCGCATCTACTTCTACTTCTGATAAATCTCGATTTCATAAATGCGGGTCTGCCACTGAGTCGTCACTATCTTTTACAAAATGATCCTTAGAAATATTTTCGCACTTATCAAACGTAGCAATAGCATCAGGCGTAAGAATTGTTAGAACATGGTTATTTTGAGGTTTTGTGTCCTCAGATGTGGTGATTTGAACAGCAACGATGGGTAAATCTGGCCCTACTGCAGTTTCCCGATCAGGTCCATAAAAAGCATCTAAAAAAAGAGATATTTTTTATTAAGAGTCCACTACCATTTAGTTAATCGCCTATCCTGCAAAAATCTCTAATTAATGTTTTTTTAAAAAACGGTAGAAGATATCAATTATTTCAACTAAAAACGTACGTGATGTAGAAGGATAAGTATTTTCTTTCGATACAAAAAAAACATTAATATTATAATTTTTTTAGTATGTAAAATGCGTTTGATATTTTCTAATTATAATGTATTTCTTTGCTCAGTTTTAAAAATTCAGCAAGGGGAAACTAGATCAAAAACCGAAAATACTTTACATGGAAAGATAAGTTATATTCATTAGCTTTCATTTGGTACTAAATTTGTCACAATTAGTTGAAATTTAACAATATTCTATTAATAATAATGAATTATAGTTACTATATACTAAAAAAATTATAATAGTAATGTTTTTTGCATCGAAAGAAAATACTTATCCTTCTACATCATATACGTTTTTAGTTTCCGAAAAAAAAAACATTAATCAGATACTCTTGCAGGATAGACGAATAACCAAGCGGTAGCGAACTTTTAACGTGAAACGGCTACTGACTCATGAAAAAAAAAACCAATAAAGTAAAATACTTACCTAGATTTTCCTTTATTGCAAGAGCAGCCTTCAAAATTTTAGCATATCGATTACTGTACATTACGCTGAATAATAAGTAGTGTACTTTAACACTCTTACAATGTATTAATTAATTGAGACTTGGTAGGTTTTTACAGAATGCAGAACGCGTATTTTATTAGTTAAATCCGCACCCAACTCAATATCTGGTATATTGTGGGTTGGTAGCTTTCTGCATAACGCCGTCCAATTGTTAATAAGTACCACACTGATACAACAGCTTAGCAACTAACAAGTTACTAAACTGTGCTGCTGATACTCTCTAACCTTAATAATTTTCTTTTTATATCTTGTTCGATAATTTTTATTTATACTAGTCCTCTTATTGTCAGAAAGTACAGAGATAAAATATTTAACTACCTGATAGGATAAAGAATCATGTATCTTTAATTTTACAATTTAAAACTAAAAATCAAATTAATACATTTTCACAAATTTTAAAATTCATGAATAAACTGTAAAATAAGTAAATACATTGATTGTATATCCAATTAACAATTTTTTTTCGTTACATGCTTTTTCAATTAGGTAGTCAAAGATTTTTCTATTTTTAGAATAAGTTTCCTGGTATACAATAAACCTTCGTGTTTGCTAAATTCTACTATATAGTCTTGGCAATCTATATGAACAACTTCTACAATTTTTTTAATTTGTTTTAATAATGATAATATCGTCAGTAATATTTATATATTCAGTTTGGTTTTACGAAAATTTATTTTTTTAAACTTGTTTATGTTTATAGATTCGATGGAAATTAGAGCAACTCAAAGTTGTTTTGAACAAATATGTACTTACACTTCAACATCAAATATAAAATTTAATATAGTAAGCTTAAATGATGCTATATCGACGGCACTCAGAGCTCCACCACAATCGGTAAGAATAAATTTTGTTTTATTTAGAGACATAAAATAGTATATTGTTACAACAAGTATTGAAGACAGCGCTTTTCACAGTTGTTGCTAAACTTTTGGTACTACTGTAACAATAATATTTTTGCATCAGAACAACGAATATATTATGAGTTGGTAACCTATAATTTAAATGCTGCGTTTGAATATCCACATCGAATGCATCTGAAATGTTCTCTGAATCTTTGATCACGTGATTCATTATACGTAAATGTAGTAGGACAAATATGTCCGATGTGGATAAACAAACACTCGAGATGTAAAAAATGCATCGGATGTGGATATTCAAATGCAGCAAAAGTACTGCGTCGCATTAGTATTGATCTAAAAAAATTAACCGAACAAAGTTGTTTATACACTAACTATTCCAGTTTTTGAACTATTAATATTTCATTTAAATGATTTTAGTTCTTAAAATGCATTCCTAAAGTAAGTAGATAACGTTCTAGTTAAATAATCATTTCATAATTTAAAACGTTAAATAAAAATAGAGGTTAAAGCTGTGTTTCCCGACAAATGGCGGCAAAATAAGACATGTAAAAAAACACTCTCCTTTCGTGCAAGTTAATTTAAAAATGTGTACTTTATCCAAGTTTTCAAAATATTTTTTGATTCTGTATGGTATTAACTTTATGATGATACATACCATTTATGTTGCTAAAAAGATTTGCGTAACAAGTTAAATAAAAATTTTATTCACACATACTTACGGGCATGCAGATCCGGTAATGTATTTAAATGTAATTCAAAATGAAACAAGTAATATAAAAATTCTTGTATATCAATGAAATCTCCAAAAATTTTTGTATACTACACTCTATCATTGTTGTAAATAAACAGGTAATAAACTCGTAGACCTGCACGGAAGTTAATCTTGCAAATATTGGAAAATAGCCATTTTGTCACTAGATTTTAGTTCAGTACAATTGCCGCGAGGTACAATAAAAAATGGTCTGCTATTCATTTATTATCCAGTTAAACTCTTTCTGTAATTTGTAATACATTAAATGATATCTCGTCGTGATAGCGCAGCCTTAAGTGTCAATTAAAACTTTATATCTATTATTTACAAAACTATATTAATCTGAAAACATACCACTGCAATAACTACAATAAAAATAATTTAAAGAATGATTTGTTTTTGTTTGGCTAATTGACGTCACATTAATGCAGCGCAATACGCGTGTTTAGTGCGCGTCACAGGTTGAGGAAGGTCATAACACTGAATGCCAACAGAAGAACCAGACCGTCAACTGTCATTAATGTCCATAAGAATAATATAGGGGTCATTGAAATTATTAAAAGAATAATTTTGAAAATGAAAGCAATTTCAGGAAAATATTTAACTTCGATTTGAATAATTTTAACCCAGCCTACTCAAACCCTGGTTTTCGAAGTAGATATAATTTAATTAATTGACACATTCAAAGCATATAAACGGTAAGTTGATCAATTTCATAAGCTTTTTTACAGGAAATTTTTTTTCCCTGATTTGATAAATATTAACCCAACTTATTTAAAGGGTAACTTTTGAAATTAATTTTAAAGCAGTATCACATGTCCCAGAGGCCAAGTGATTTGCTACCTTATTGTATTATGCCCGTTACAATATTTACGCAACTGAGAAGGCCCTGAAGAAGCTAAAAATACCTTTGATCCAAGGCAGATACATCATGGGTTGTGATTTATACTGTTTTTTGTTTGGCCACAATCCACAATTTTACATACTTTTTTGTTTATTACTGAAAAAGCACTGTCAAATAGTTACAATTTAATAGATACTAAATTATTATTACTACACAAATATTTGATAATTTATATTATTATATAATAAAACTACTTTACATGTTTTAATTTATTTATTTATCTTGCAGAACAGAGTAAACTTTCAATTATTTATTATATAATTTTCACTGTGTATAAGAAAAATGCAGAGGCATAGCTCTTATCATTCTGACCTCTCCACTTTCAATTTTATTACAGTTTTCAGCTTTGATCATAACAGAATCTAAATAAAAAAATATTTTTCTTCAAGAGGATTAAAATATGCTATTAATTCCATAGGTACAACAATAAAGTTCATATTCCTAGTAACATATAATAACTCTGAGAACTTATATCGAGGGCCACAATGCAAGACCTCGTAACTAACATTTCCACCGAAAATTATATGTTATGAAAATCTCGTTTAAAAGATTTCGCTCCATCTACTGTATAGGGGAAGTATTACAATTTTTGAACAAAACATGGATAAATATTAGTCCTATTATAATAGAGTAAAATGGATTGTTCTAAAGTTAAAACATTTTTTTTCAACTGAAAAATGTCGATTTTGCGGCTTAGGAGGTCCTGCCTTGTATCCCACGATATATGTCTCACCTGCTTCTTTTCTGGACGGATCCAGGCATTGATTCATCTTGTAAATATTATTTTCACTCTCAAAATCAGGAATAAGGTTAAGTTTCTCAAATCGCTGAAATATAATTTTTCCTGAAATAAATATTATGAAATCAGTAGAATTACATGTAAAGGTAATCAACTTACCGTTTACATGCTTTGAATGTGTCAATTAATTAAAATATATCCACTTCAAAAACCAGTATTTGAGTAGGCTGGTTAAAAATTCTTCAAATCGAAAACAAATAAATATTTTCCTGAAAAAAAAAAAAAAAAATTGAAATCGATAGAGAAACATTACCGTCCATATGCTCTACTATGTTAAATAATTAAATTGCTTTAATTTTCAAAATTATTTTTTAATAATTTCAATGACCCCTGTGTTATTCTTATGGACATTAATGACAGTTGACGGTCTGGTTCTTCTGTTGGCATCCAGTGCTATGACCTTCCTCAACCTGTGACGTTTTCACTAAACACGCGTATTGGGTGGTTATTAGGAGAAAGATTTCAAATTAAGGCTGCCCCAGAGCTAGATTTCGAATCAGTCTATCGAATGGTTGGTTGTATATTAAATCTTTCTTAAAATGAAAGGGCGTGTGTATCTAAACATTGGTGGTTGTTAAAATAAATTGTTTTAAGATAGTTATATTCATAAAGGGTTAAGAAAAAATAAACTATACTGTAATCAGTTAATAATAGTCAGTGAAAAAATGTGTAACAAAGCATTTCTTTCATCATACAAATTATATAAATCAAATGTTTAAAATACATAATTGTTGCTTAACACTATAGTATACTATACTAATATTGAAATTAAAAAGTTTTTCCGAGACATTTTTGTCGGTTTAAATTGTCGAAACGAGTACTAGAGAAATTAGGGAGAAAAATAAACTAAAGAAAAATTGAAAAAAAAAATTTCTGCTCCAGGAGGAGCTCGAACCCGAGTCGTCTAGATTACCGTTCCAATGTAATAACTGCTAGATCACCGGAGCATTACGGATCTAGCGCCCTAACTGTTAATTTGAGTGAAAGATTCGATCCCGACTCTGTTTATTAGATCCCTTTACAACCCTTCAATCATTCTCTATTCACCAAGTTATATGGTAACGGAAACGCCGTAAACTCAGTGAGATTTAAATTAGAAATAAACTGAAGGTTTATCTGAAAAATTTTTGTCTGTTTAAATTGCTGAAACAAATACTAGAAATACTAGAAACTTGCTAGCATCGATGTCGGTGATTTATGTGCTGATGCCATTGGCCAGAGCCATGGGTTCGAATCCCTCCGTGGACAGAATTTTTTCAATTGTTCATTAAATTTGTTTTCTTTTTGGGGGTCCAATAATAATTATTATTCGTAGGGGTAATTTTGGGATTTATTTAAGGATTTTCGAGGAATATAATATCCTTTAGAATCGATTGTTTACTTATTTAAAAATATTCGTTAATATTTTTTTCAAAAAAACATTTATGAAATCCATAGAATATTTTGTAAGGAATGTCAGTTAATCAAGATTAAAATAATTATATAACAATACTTGAAATATCGCATAAAAATTAGACATTCATTATAATGACGTTTCTATCTTTAAGGATTTATCGGTGGGTAAATTTAAAAAGGCTTTGTGAATTAGGCTATTAATACAATTTATTTCGGAGGAAAATTTAAATTTGAGGTACCATATTTAAACGTTTTTAATAAAACAGACCGAAGATGTACTGATATCGGAGCTAACCTGTACTGCGTTGTCACATGTCTTATAGCGTTTTTGATTCCACTGCCCTGCCTGCGGAGAGTGCACATAAAAGATGCGCGATATATCGATACCGGTTACTTTTTAGAGTGAAAAGTAACTGGTATCGATATCTCCCACCTTTCGTATGCTTTCAGAGCAAGCAACACTATTAGATTTTTATTCCCTCTTTAATTTTTTGACCAACAATAAATGTAACAGAACTCGGTATGCTTCGGTATGAAAATGCAGTAATTAAATCACGATTTTTACAACTGTTAACATACTTCGATCTTTTTTTTTAGCGAAAAGTAGTTCTTTTGTACTTGCACAATTCGGAATCACCGTTCTCTTCCCGATTTCTTAAAATGTTAAACGAAGAAAATATATCAAACATATTAAAACAAAGTTTTTTCTTTGTTGGTTGGGATGTTAAAAATAAAAACTATCATAATTCACTTTGTCAAGCATTAATCGATCAGGATATGCCTCACTTATGTAATTTTGTTGAAACCAAAATGTGTATAGGAATTATAATTCAAAATATACACGGACAAATAAAAACACAAGGAGTAGTGGTAGAAGGAACAGATGAGAGCGAACTTATGACTTATTTAAATAATTCCCACAATTGGCTTAATGCTGATAGTAAAGATGCTTCAGAGGATGAGAAAGACGCACAAGTTGAAATGGATTCGAAAGCATTTCAGAAACTTATGGCTGACAGATTAGGTGATAGAGATTTCACTTGTTATGCATTTGATCAACATGAATATCTTAAAAGAAATATTGGTTTTTCTCTATTTGGACCACCACTTGATGAAAAGGGATATGATGATAAATGTAAGAAGAGAATAGAAAGTCTTTATCAAGTTATTATAAAAAATGCTGGTAAGTATACTAACATACGATTATTTCTATATTAAGAATGTCAAAGCTTTTGGCTCACAGCTACCGAACCTTATTTAATATGATTTAATATTTTTACTTTGTAGTTTAAATTATTAGTTTTTCTTTTACATAAAATTGACGCAATTGGTGTCAAATGAAATCTGACAGCCGCCTCCCTTTTAACAATAACTAGGGTTGCCTTTGTTTGCACATAAACTATATATGTCATTGGTAGTACACCAATTATAATTGGTTTGCACACACTCCAAAAATGTAGCACCGAAATTTGTTGTTATTTTGACGTCTGCGTAACACCAGATATTGTTGGTTTGGTGTTTAGTGCGGTTTAGCAATATATCTATCCCCTTATTAGTGGTCTCTATTACTCATTTGCAAATCTTACTTCCTCTTTAAATCACTAACATTAATTGTTATGTTTTCTACCTTGAGTGTCAATTACACATCAGAAAATGTCATTTTGCTTTTGCGTGTGTATTTATAATTTGATTTGGCTTTTATTATGGAAATGAGCGACAAAATATGTGCAAAAAATGCACCCACCGAGACTCGATAAAGGTTCTTTAAAGTAATGATAACAGGGGAGTAATCGTTGTTTACCCAACATTTGTAGTTAGGGTAATAGGTCAAGCACAGTGGAGTTTGGTAGAGCTACACTTAGACACTTACCACCTACAACAAAGAAATCATTAAAGCTAAACGTAACAGCTTCATGAAATTCTGCAGATTAACCCTACATCTGCGACAGCGAGACTGCACAAGGCCCTGGTAAAATGGAGAATTTTTACAGTCATGGCGTTAAAGAAATCAAATTGAAGCTTCACGGAGAGTGAGGAAGAAAGATCTCGCCTCTTACTCAAAACTCACTTTTGAACCGTTTAAGTCTGCAGGTGTGGACGTACTATTTCTTGCTCTGCTTTAGCTTTAGCGGGAATATGATGGTGTAATTTTCATAATTTCGTAGGGGTAATTAAGGCTTTTTCATTTTTAATATTTCCAAGTCTGCATTCAGTTTTTCGGATCTAAACCGACTTTCTCACTTTCTTTTATAAGAGTTACTATCAAGTAGCGGCCGTGCTTTAGTCCCTTGTTCTCAGATTCAAAAGCGACGTTTTCGCTGCTTATTTTGGAAAAAGCTAAACATTTTCTCTCATTTAGATGGAGGAGTATTATTAGAAGCTGTTGCAAACTCCTTCAGCGTTTGCCTTCTTCTTCTTCTTCTTCTTCTTCTTCTTCTTCTTCTTCTTCTTATTCTTATTCTTATTCTTCTTCTTCTTCTTATTCTTATTCTTTTTCTTCTTATTCTTTTTCTTCTCATTTTTCTTCTTCTTCTTATTCTTCTTCTTCTTTTTCTCATTTTTCTTCTTCGGAGATGAAATTTTCAAAAATTGGAGTCATAGTCTAAAAGGCGTCCTTCAGGGACATGAAGGACGTCCAAGGGACTTCCTCTTCTAGTACTGGAACGTAAAACCGTAATACCACCTGCTTTTATTTTATCTCAAAATTTGATATGCCTATAGCATTCTCAAGTACAGTTTGTTCGCTATACTTACGCGGGTTTCAGATTAAAAATTTTATGAGTATTTCCAGGTAAGTACCACTGATCTGTATTATTTTACTGGATAGGATATAGCCCCCTAAAAAACGTTCCGAAAAATTGGCTGATTTGGGCAAATAATATGGCGGACCGGATGTTATTTAACCTAACCTCTATTTCCATTTGTCATCACATTTGTCATTTAATTGTGTCAACAAGCTACGATGAGATATTTTTATTGTGGAAAACAAAGTAAAAAGAGTATGAAATAAACAATAAACGTTTATTCCTGAAGACACAATATGCTTCACGTTTCCATTTTTATATTTTCTTTCATAAAAAATCAAATCATGGGTGAAATTTCCCGAAGAACATCGCCCGCAAAAGGAATAGAAGAAGAATAAGAAGAAAAACTAATCAAATTATAGGTTAGGTATGTCAAATTATCCCAAATTTCAGTTCTGTGAACCCACCATAATTTGCCCAAATCGGCCAGCATTGTTGCACTTCCGGTCTCCTTGGTGGAACGATTTTTTAGTATGTTAAATATAGCCTATATCCTATCCAGTAAAATAATACAGATCAGTGGTAAGTACCCGAAAGTTTGACCTGTTCTTTGGGGAAATATCAACTGGTTAAATGAAATGAAAAATAATGAACAACTTATTAATTAAATAATAATGGAGAATCTTTTGTATAATTGAGAGCATAATTAAACTTCTTCATTAATGGAGTCTAATGTGGGTATTATAAACCTAATAATAATTTTATATTACACTTCACACAGAAAATATGGTCTATGTATAATAAGAGGGTTATTTAGCTCAAATAAAATATTTTCTACATAAGAAATCCCATTATTTAAGCAATCGAATTTCTTTAACATCTTGTTAACTTAATTTGTTAAAAAGACATAATGAACTAAAATATATTTTTTACTTTATGATGACCTCGTATATTCGACACCATATTATAAACCCAAATATCAATATAATTGTATATTTTTTTAGCAGAAATATCTGAATATAAAGATCAAATTGAACTTTCAACTCTATTCAACTGCACTGAACCACTTTCAGACGATAAAAATTCTAGAAAGAAAAAAAATCCAAATTATAATCCAAATACAGATATACTTCCTATACCAATATTTGTCCTTCGAAAATGTAGAGGCAGTGATAATCCTTGTAGGATTTTCATTGACGATGTTGGACGCAAATACGAAAATTGGAAGGCATATATAGAAAATAATAAACTTGGAAAATGCGTAATGGTTTTACCCAAAAATGGAAGATATAGAGTCGATGGAGACGAAGTTGAGTTGGAAACCTATTATTCGCCTGCATGTGGCATTGTTAAAAATATATTGAAGGTAGTTTTTTAATCGATTGTTTTTGTTTTTAAAATTAATGACGCTATTTAAATTTAAAATGAGTGTTTTTTCCAATAATACGTCAACTTTTCAGTAGAGCAGACTGAATATTGTTTGGAAACTTTTTGTGTTCTATATTTACATTATATTAATTATATTTTGATAAGAAATGCAGTTAGCGCCAATAATTTTGTCACTGTAATTTAACTAATGAAACTTTTTTAAATATACATGAATTGTTGGTTTTTGTAACATACTTTTATGTTCTGATACATTTTCTATGACATAGTGTCATATGTATACCCACAACATGCCTCTATTAATAATACAACTAACGTGAGAGTTAAAAACATTATGTGCACATAGAGTTGTTTAACTCTTAAGTTTATTGAACATAGTTCGCAACTTTTATTGTGATATAGTATACCACTGGAAATGTATCGATGAGGTGATTAAAAAAGTATACACTTTATAAAACTGCACCATGTCGACATAGTTCAGTTTGCCTCTCAGGTACTGATATCGGTAAATATTTAATCTTCATAATATAGGTACATACCTAACATAGACACAACTATTTAGTTTCTTGAATTAATTTATGCCAGTGCAACATTTAAGTTTTATATCGTTTTCAAAAAAAAAACTAATTTAAGTTTAGCTTTTTTTGTAGATGCAAGCGATACCATCATTTGAGTAACATACTCACTGCTACCCTGTTTATCAATACCTGTAGCATTTATAGATAGAGCTTATTTCTATAACCTCAAATTCATTAGGAACTACCTACAAAATAAAACAATTATTCATATAAAATTGTTATACTTCTTAAATATCTTCTGGTACAATAATTTTTATTAGCTGGCAACTACAATATAAGGTCTGTTTAAAGTTAGGTACTTTATGTAATTGCCACAAAGGCCCATTTAATAATGAAATCCAGTCATTGCTTGATTTGGATGGTTTTCCTATAAAAGAGTGCCATTTTAAATATATCATCATATTGATAGTTTACCCGAAACACTTGGATATAATTCAATTTTGTCTCTATGAAATCTCTTCTGATGACGTTGTATCTATTTACGCAGTGTTTTCTGTTTTTGAAACTTCGAGATTATGTTTCTTGTAGGAGAAAACAAAATAATTAACAAGGTTTTTACTCAATGTCTAGTACTTAGAGTTTGGGTATAAAACACATGACTATTCTGTAGACACTGGAACAAAAAATAAAATATAAATTACAGTCGAAATTTGCAAATAAACAACATAACCTCAAAAATAATAGTAAATGTTTTGCCTTGGAGACGTTTTTCGACAACAATTGTTGAATTGACATACCTACTTCCGATTTATTAAAGTCTCAGTTTTATTTAAACAATTTTTTTTAAATAAACAATTAAAATTGTCTTTTGGGGATTTGAGAGTCTAACATCTTGATTGGATACATCGAGATAGAATGAAGTATTTTGCCATATTATGACGCAATTTGAGTTGTATTTTGATTAAATTGAAGTTAATAATTTTATATTTGAAAATTGACGGGATGAAAATGTGTTTATATCATTTTAATCACGCTATTAAAAAAAAAATGGTATTCCTACCAAAACTGACGTGAAAGTGTAATGCAAAAATGCGGGCACATTAAGTATCTTCATTGCATCTCCTCTTTATTCTATCTCAATAATTGAAAAGGTTCGTATGACACGCCCTAATTTGTGACGTCACGCCTTGTATATGTGCGACGCACAAAATAGGGTAGCTTTAAGAAATCACATTGTTTCACCTGGTTTCACGGAACTTTTGGCCTCTCTTTTTAACTACAGACATTTGCGGAAACGACTGGTCGCTCTGGTGCTCAATCGGCATTGTGAACCGACAAAAACGCGGCGAGTTAGAGCGCAGTGGTGCCCCAAAAAAAAAATACATATTAACATGTGATTTTAAAATAATGTTTTTTATGAAATTTTACTGGGTGTTCTATGCACAAATGAACCAATGGAGAAACCTCCCCTGTTTTTTATAATTTAACAGTCGGTCACGAGTAACATAATGTTTTGAAAATCGTATTCTGTTAGTGAACATTACTTTTCTTGCTACATTCTCTTGATTATTATTGGCAGTTAAAATAAAATTACCACTAGCAGACTTGTTATAACATAAGAGAAAATTTTGTAAGATTTTCTCAAAATTTTTATGACTTATTAAATAATTACTTTTCTGAAAAGTACTCGAAATAGAATAGAAATATTGTAACATTACCATTTTCTTGTACGTACTTCTAGTTGAAGGTAAAAGAAGTCTTGCAAATGTGTTTTCTTTAATAAAAGTTTATACAAAACCTCAGAACCTACCTCAAGTTCATCATGTGCGTTTCATTAAACAGTTTTTTAAAACAACAATAATTAAAAATTCAGAATATAACAAATATGGAAGAGAAAATCTGTTAAAATTACAGAACTCAATATTTTATGGCAAATACAATTTGTTAACTAGGGCTTGATATTTTCACTTACAGAATACAAAAAAAATTTAGTTTAGTTAGTATACCTTTAACTTTAAATAATATTAAAATAACAGGCTGTAACTGAGATTCTATTCTACAGAATAGCACCATAAATCTGTACTTGGGATATTTTTTGTAGTAATCTGTATTATAGAACGTACTTATTTTCTCTATCCAGCATTTAAGTTAAGTAAATTAAAGTGACACAAATCTATTTTAATTTTTATTAATAAATGTAATATGCCGTTATTGAAACAACCGAAATAATCAGGTATTCATAAAATTCAGTTGAGAAAATATCTTATATATCTTTTTTATCCATTTCATTCTTTCATTTAATCATATACGCCTGCATTGTTTTATCTACGACATACACTTATAAATGCAGTAATGTGCAAATTAATACAGCTGATAATTAAAAAAAAATAATAATTTATAGGTACAAAGTAAAAATAGAATAGTATTAAAGTTAAATTGTAATAGGAAATCTTCCTCCCTTGGCTTTCATAACTTCAACACGTTTTGGCTTAAAGTGAACAAGTTTTTTTACAGTTTTCTGATATTAGCTGGCATTAAAACCACATCTGGATTACAATTTCAATTAGTTTTCTTTGTTATATAGTCTATTTTATGAAGTCTAGGTTTTACGATAGCCCACAGATTTTCGATATGATTTAGATCAGGTGAATTTCCTGGACATTCAAAGCATGAAATTAAATTGTCCTTGAAATCATTACATTTGACACGTAACATGGAGAGCTGAATCTTGTTGACAAACTCTTTGACCATTCCCATCAACTTTTCTTATTTCAGTTTCCAGTCTTTGTTCCAGAATGTCTCTGCATTTTATAGAGTTTATCATGTCTTTGACCAGCACATGTGATCTGGCATCTTTATAAAAAAAACGGCCTCAAAACTAAAAAAGTTTATGTCAATGGTCAAGCAGTTTTTCAAGAAGATTCGGTTCCATGTCATGTGTCTAAGGTCATAATGAAATATTTCATGAACAAAACGATGGCATTCCTTGAATGGCCACGAAAATCTGTAGTCTATTCTAAAAGCTAATTTAGAATTTAGATTGTAATCCAGATATGGTTCGGAGAACAGCAAATATCAGAAAATTGTAAAACAACTTGTTGATTCTAGGCCAAACGTATTGAAAAAGTTATAAAAGCAAAGGGAGGACATGTTTTCTATTAAAACAATTTAACTATAATACTCTTTTTTTCTTTGTTTAGTAACCAATAAATGATTTCTGTACAAAATCACTTGTACGCAGTACTATAACAAGTAACTAATCAAATATTGATTGAGAATTTACCTTTGTCATTGCGGAGATTCTACAAAACAAATGTCAAATCACTGACATTTTTATTGTTATTAGAGAGTAGGTACCTATACTTTATCAAAGCATTCTTTGTCAATTTACTAATTTCATAATAAAAAATCTGTATCTTAATCAATATTATTGTGGTAAAGATCTTCGTGAATTTAATAAAAGTACATTATTTTATGAGAATAGATAAATATTTTTAGATTCTTAGGTGTTATAAAAAACCAGGGAACATAATAGCTATTTATGCAACTAGTTACGAAATGTCTTATTTTATGTAACAAGTAAATATTTTTGGGACTAACCGACGAGCGAGGTCCCGCAACATGAACGAGATACACAAAACTGCCTTTCGTGACGTGTACCATACAATATTTTTTCTAATTTTGACTAAATTATTTATAAAATTATGTTTTGGTAAACAATTACTGTCATACGTCAGATAACTTCATTTATTTTATTGACAAATAGAAAATAATATTAATTTATTCTCAACTTGTTGTTAGTGTGTTTATATTGCTTATTAAAGTTATTTAGCTTTCAAGAAAGTGGGTCAATGTCACCAGTTTCGCAAAGAAAACATATAAAAATAAACCTTAAAAGTTTATATCAAACAAGGGCAAGTTGACTTATAAAAATAGAATTTGGGTAAACTTACAACCTAGTAATAATGTTGTTTTGGTCCTTATTTTCCATTTTTAATCAGCACAAAATAATTAAAACAAATACACGAGAAAATAACCCACTTTCTTGAAATATAAATAACTTTAACAAGTAATATAAACACAATAAATGAATACGATTTTCTATCTTTCAATAAAAGAAGAAAGTAGGAATATTATTATTATTATTTTTCATTTTTTATGCCACCCATTGTCGAGTCTGATGTTAAGCAAGCCATCCTTGCATTAACGAACTCTAAATCTATAGACTATTATGGTTTAAATAGTTGTATGGTAAAAATGACGCCGGAGTCCATCGTTACGCCACTTCGCTTGTTGTTTAACAAATGCTGTGAAGAAGGGTTTTGGCCTGATGAACTTAAAATAAGCAAAGTTGTGCCCATACATAAAAAGGGAGATGCAAACTCTATGGATAACTATAGACCGATCGCAATTGTTCCTATCATAGGCAAAATATTAAAAAAAAAATTAAAAGAAAAATTAA